GGCGGGGGATTTGTTTCTTGTGGGTAGATTGAGGGATTTAGTTGAGGGCTGTTTGGGCTGTGGGGGGGATAATGTATAGATAAGGAGTGTTTCATTGAGCATGTCTTGGTAAAAAAGAGTAAGTACTGTCACGGGTGATTGTAGAGCGGCGTTGGGACACTATTGACCGATGTTCGTCTATTTGAACGTACTCAAGGCTGATGGTCTGGTAGTGGTTGCTTGTTTTCATATTGCACCATGCACTCTGATGGGTGACTACAATCTCGAGTATCAAAATTTACTGTTTGAGGTTATGGAAAATGCTTCTTTTCAACCCGAAGTTCAGTCAACATCAACCCAACCACAATGAACTACATGCTCAGCCTTCCAAGACGAAGAAGAACCTTCTCAATGTAGCGAGCGCCAACAAGGATTCCGTTCTCATCTTCAAATGCCTTTTCATCTCCAAAATCAACATTATCCGGATCAAGACACGTCAAACACGTCTCTACAATCTCTGCATACTTGTCGCCCATGCTCCCTGGTAGGGGGCATCGAGCGAGAGCGACGAAAAGATCTTTGTCTTTCTCAGACCTCGTTGTGAGCAGTTGCGAAAGGTTGTGCGCTCCGGTTGTAGGGTCGTATTCGACAAAGCTACCCCAGAGGCCAATTTCCAACAAACACACTCCCAGACTGTATATATCGTGGCGCATCTCGTAGTCATCGCGAGGGCTAAAACCTTGTCGAGATGGATGCCTATAAAGATTTTTGTCCGGTACATCATCGCCTTTCCTCGCTGTCCAGCCTTCGTCTCGTCGGAAGTTCTCAAAACCAACTAGGAACCCAGCCATACCTCCTCCATGGGCACAATCGAAGATGAGAACCGATTCCGGACGAACGTTTTTGTGTACGAAGCCGAAGGTATGCACATAACCAACGGACCTAGCTAGATCTCGAGCGATTTCGAGCCGTCGTGTAGTTGATGTGAATGTCGGTGTATTGAGTAAAATCTCCCGTAGGCTTCTAGGATTATGTGACGCTGGAGGCTCTCTGAAGACCAGTGTCAGTGAGAGAAGTTCTGCAGATCCCACTCTGACTGTTTCCGCGACGAAGCCCTTGCAATTCAACAAGCCGAAAGTGTATGGATCGTCGACCTGAAGCCTCCGCACGAGATCGCGGACATTGCGCTTTAGTATCTGCGGCTTCGCGCTAGGCTCACACTGTATGTGGTTGAGAATATACTTCTTTGGTGGCCCGCGTGAAAACATTCTAGTCGCCACCTCGATGCCATCACAGAAGGGAACTGGATGAACGACCATATTCTTTATGTCTTCGGGGTTCAAATTCAAGTGCTCTGCTGCTGACGTTGCAGAGGGTTCACTGCTGTTCTGCTGTAATGCAGCACGTATACTGACCATTGTCTTCGTATTTGTATCAGAGCCAGACTCACGGGCGCCACTGCTTGCAGCCAAAGCCTGGTCCACTTGCGTATCGGCAATTCTTAGTAACAGAAACCAGGATTGGTCGGCCAAGCCTTGCCATATCTCCAGATCCTTGATCGCTTCATCCAAGCTGCTCTTCTTGACTCCATATTTCCACCGACTAACCTTATAAGTAGGCGATAAAGTTATATTCTCAATCCCCAGTTGCGGCTTTAACAGATCCTTCAGTAGAGAGATGACGACTTCCAATCTGTTGTTGAGAACTTGCAAGGTCTGGTTGTACACCTCGCGTTGCTCGTCTTCCATCACGTGGTGGGTACTCTGTAGGAAAGTGAGCTGGGATAGGAACCGTACCCAATTATTGTCGAGCCGCAGACAACGCTCCGAAAACTCAGCGTTGGCATGTCTCAGGGCAGAGCACAAGTCTTTTCCTTCCTTGATATATCTGTTTCATGAGCAGAGTTATGAGGGTGGTCTCAGGGCGTCTTACTTTCGACAGAGATCAATAGTAGGGGGAATCGCTAGCAAAAGTTCCGCCGACATGTCGAACAGACTACAAAGTTGCTGCTGGAATAAACGTCAGGATAAGACTGAGATTGTCGTGGTCAGCGACAGGCTGAAGGCGTGAAATGAAACGACACCCCCAGAAACATGGCATGTGAAACTAATTATGAGGTGGTAAATGCTGACCATGCGATATGCCCAAGCCTTTACCGCAGCGAATCAGGTATGATTTCCTGACACAGATCGGAATACTTGCTGCCTCGAGAACGTCTGATGCTGGATCCAATTAGTGATGAGGATGAGTTGATGTGTCATACTCTAGTGAACCACTGTTGCACGATTTGTGGCTTTCAGCTCCCATCTTGATTTGCTGGCCGTAAAGCTGAAGCGGATGTAGATACACAGCCATGTTTTCCCGACCGGATGAACTGTCAGGTTGATCCAAAGCTGAAATCACGCTTATTTACATTGCCCCCGGCAGACTCAAAGTGTGCACCATCACCCCCACTTATCGAAAATTTCCTGGCTCTCTTTCGCTGTGAGAGAATACGGCCGGATATCTTGTAATCCTGATCTCGCGACATTGCTGCTCGAGAAGTCAAATGATGCAATCACGCAGTTTACCGGAACGTGTTCAGGAGTCAGAACTACAGGTAACCATTCATGATAACATCACTGTCCACATCGAGCCACTCGAATGCCGGGAAGAATCCTCGCCACAAGTTTGGGTGACCAAGAGGACCCTCGGTCGCGGAGGCGACGGTACCGTCTTTTTGCAGCAAAAGGTTGAAGGGCCCGGCACCATCGATATGCTCGCCGTTAAACAGATGAGCCTCGACCATGATCTTGCGTCCGAAGACCACAATAGCAAAAGATATGTACGCGAGCTCGAGGCATTAGCCAAGTTTGGGCAGCCAAGAGTAAGTCATACGCGGGGGGGTTTGTTCGTATAGGTTAGTGATGTTTAGCGCAGTATTCACGCTACTTTGTGAGATCATATGGTTGGTATCAAAACGCTGGCTGGCTCTATATCTGTATGGAGTACTGCAAGTACCTGGACCTTGGAAAGCATCTGAATATCTATGGAGCTCTATCGGAAGAAAGTGCTAGAGCGATTGCTCTACAAGTACTTCGGGGACTATTCCAGATGCACGAAAACAAAATCGCCCATCGAGACATAAAACCTGCTGTAAGTACCACAAAGGTAGCAGCGACCGTATTGAAAGAAGACTAAGACAATTTATAGAATATCATGGTACATCGCAAACCCCCAATAGACGATGCATGGTGGGTTGTGCTTGGCGATCTCGGTCTTAGTCGACACGGCGATCTTTCTTCAGGATCGACTACGATACGTGGTACTCCAAGCTACATGGCCCCAGAGACTATTGGGGCACCTTTTTTAGGTCGACCAAACGACGCAGACCCATTTCGAGCTGATATGTGGTGCTTAGGGGAGACGATAGCATATGCTCTAACGGGACAGAATACGTTCTCTGGCAGTAAACAACTGCTCAGCTACCAGAGACACAGCATACTCTTTCCTGACAGCGCTTTGAAGCAGTCATCAGCAAGTGTTGACGCAATCGACTTTGTTCGCTCTCTACTGCAAGCGGATCCTTTGCGGAGACCAACTGCCTCTCAAGCACTTCATCACCCTTGGATCAATGGTAATCGCGCCCCACAGTCGCAACCACGCAAAAAATTCATTGAGCTTATATCTGGTCACACCAAGAACGCTTCCAATCGAGGGTTTACAAATGTGGATAGGATTACAGAAGCTTCGGCACAATGGACGCAGACGGTGTCGATGAGAGTGAATGAAGCAAATACTCAGCCAGAATCGCCTATGCGCACTGCTGTATCCCCGACGATTACTCCGAATCTCTCTGATAGATCTATGGTCCCTCATAGTACATCGATTTCCGCAATCGCCCGTCGCAAAAGAGTATTTCCTCCCCGTCAAGCTTCAAGCCCAAATTCCTCTAAACGATCTGAAGTCGGTTTTGATGATGCCTATGCGAATTCCAAAGACGTGATAGAAGATCTAGCCGATAGAACTGAATCCTCTGATGAAGGATGACTTGCTCAACTCATTCAGGCAAGTTCAACAAGCAGAAAAAGTTCGCATATGAGAAAGGCAAAGGCAAATGCAGAGAGGCAACCTGCAAAAGCGCAATATGAACTTAAGAAATTTACAGAGGAGTTCAGGAAAAGACCTTCTGTCTAACCGGACACACGAACATGCAAATTTAATGGAAATATTTTTGGCGCACATATCAACTGGAATGAGGCATGTCATCAGCGACGCTAGTAAAGCAAGTTGCTGTGGTACTGCGACATAAGACTCACAGCCCACCATCGCAACCTACACCTCCAACGCTGTAGTAATTATAAGCCGATCCCAACTCAACTAGAGAAAATCAGAAAGTTGTTGCGCAGTTACTCAATCCAATGTGAAAAGAGGGCTGGAGGCTCAGTAGAGGGATGATTGCCCATGGCTCGCTCAGTGTAGGGCATGACGCAAGACGCCTGGAGAGAGATGAAGAGAAGGGGCGATACAAAAAAACGGTCTGACAATGGATGAGTAGATAGTACTGCTGGAGTGATATATGAATGTTCTGAGATTCGACTGGTAGAGAAGTCCTGTACTAGAAATGGGTATCAGGACACCACAGATCTGGTTGTCGGTCAAATGAGTTGTACGGCTAAAGCCAATAACATATGCTCTGATTCTTTATAGTCTTCTGGTATTTAAAATCGTAATCAACAGGGGATATGTTGAAAGCTCTAAGTATTGTTCAATACGGGAGGGGAGATGTCCAGTAGACATGAGGTGGGGTTGGGAGACTAGAATTACGCCTTGAGTGAAGATCTGGGCGTGTAATTATTCGCCACTGAGGTAGGACATGAACAACTGGTTGCACATGCTCTAACTTCATAGATCGTACTTTGAGATTCATTGAAGTGTAAATGAGAAAGTTCGTAAAGATCGTACAAGCTGACAGGATCTTGGGAGCTGGACGGAACAAATGGTGATGACGGGGGTCGTCGGTGTATGGTTCAACCGTACTAGCGGCGGGTGGTCCAAGCGCTAGCCGTGGATCTCTCTACATCACTGACAGCCGCAACACCAAAGCAAACAACACAACGCGGCTTCATCCCACTTCTCTGTTCTTTTGATAGCTTCCTCGCATCCGCCGCAACTGCTTTGTCCGAGAGCGAATAAGTAAAGCAGCACCCAGAACAAGCCACATCACGACCCCGCCACCATGTCTGCCGGAGAGGTGCTCAAGGCCGACAAGGACTTTACGAAGGAGGTCGATGCGGCGATTCCAGAGGCAGAGAAGCTAGCTTCTGTATGTTGGACAGTCACTCTATTGTTCGGCAAAAGCTAATGGATTTGTTTAGAGCAATCCCCAAGCTGGAATCGATAAGCTGCTCGCACTCGAGAAGCAGACTCGCCAGGTAGACCCGCACATATCTCGCGCGCATAAGCAAGCTCTAACATGGCCTAGGCTTCCGACCTCGCCTCCACCTCCAGAGTCATCATTGCCATCGTCACAATAGCAAAGAATGCAAAGGATTGGAACTTGATGAACGAGCAGGTCCTGCTCCTTTCAAAGAAGCATGGACAGCTCAAGCAAGCGACCACTAAGATGGTGCAGACCGTCATGGGATTCTTGGATGAGACACCAAATCTGGAGACAAAGCTGTCGGTCATTGAAACACTGCGCACTGTTACCGAGGGCAAGGTAAGCATCGACAATGGATGACACACGCGACACTGCTAATTCATTATTAGATCTTTGTCGAAGTCGAGCGAGCGCGGGTAACACGTATACTTTCGAACATCAAGAAGGAGCAAGGCGATATCGACTCTGCGACAAACATCCTCTGCGAGCTCCAGGTCGAGACGTTCGGCTCCATGACCCGGCGAGAGAAGACCGAGTTCATCCTACAGCAAGTGGCGCTATGCATACAGAAGGGTGATTGGACACAGGCTGGTATTCTCAGCAGGAAGATCAGCACACGATACTTTGCACGAAAACCGAAGAAGACGCCCGAGCAGCTAGAGAAGGAGCAGAAGGAGCGCGAGGAGAAGGAGAAGAACCGAAGCGTAGATGACCCTCCGATTGAGCCAGAGGATGACGTAACGGATCTCAAGCTCAAGTACTATGAGCAGCAGATCCTCCTGGCGAAGCACGATGACAAGTACCTCGATGTCTGCAAGCACTACCGCCAGGTACTAGACACAGAGGCCGTCGAAGAAGACCCAGCCAAGCTTCGGGCGGTATGCGATACCCCTCTCTAATGTCTGGACAAATGCTGACCCTACAGATTCTTCAACGCGTCATCTACTTCATCATCCTCGCTCCGTACGACAATGAGCAGTCCGACCTCATCCACCGTATCCAGCGCGACTCGCGAAACTCTCAAATCCCACAAGACGCACAATTGGTGAAACTCTTCACTGTGCCTGAGCTCATGAGGTGGCCAATGGTAGCCAAGCAGTTTGGCCCTCACCTCACCGAGACAGATGTCTTCGACGCCGAAAAAGGCGACTCAGATGATCCAAAGGCATTCCAGCGGTGGCAGGATCTGCGAAAGCGCGTCATTGAGCACAACGTCCGTGTTGTGGCAAAGTACTACACACGTATCCAGATCCCGCGCCTCACCGAGCTGCTGGATTTGACCGAAGACGAAACAGAGAAGAACATCAGCGAGCTGGTTTCTGCAAAGACCATCTACGCCAAGATCGACCGTCCCGCTCGCATTGTCACATTCTCGAGACCCCGGGACGCTGATGACGTATTGAATGAATGGAGCAGTAATATGAAGAGCTTGCTAGGTCTTCTTGAGCGCGTTGACCATCTCATCACCAAGGAAGAAATGATGGCGCGCATTCAGCCAACAAAGGTGGACAAGAGCAAGGCGGCTAAGGGCAAGGCGAAATAAGGGTCATAACAATCTTCAGCTATCGGCAATCGCTTCAAACGTGCTGACTGGCAGATACTTGTGTACCGACTTCGTTATGCTTACCACTCATGATACATGAAGAAGGGTTATGATTAGTCTAGACATTGCCGAACTCTCAAGGTTCCGCGCGAGTTGTGTATGTATAATAGACATCTGATCAAACTTTGCAGTCCTTGGGTGCTTTCAGTTTCGATGTTGCGTTGATGCGGTTCGTCTTGAGGAATGACATCAAACTTAGGCCTACCCTGTCGCGCTAGGCCACGACAGAGCCGCGGTATCTCGAACGTCCCGCATCCGGGGTACTTACCGAAGTACAACGCTTTTATATACTAGTACGCAGACCTTCTCACTGACTCTGATAACTCTAGTTGCAGCCACTGTATGCGCCTGCAGCACATCCTCTCCCTCGCAGACCCCCGCCTATACACACGCACCAATCTCCGCGTCCGTTCCCACTGGCGCACCATGGCCGCCGCCGCGCCCCCGCCCAACCGGCCGATTAAGATCCTAATGCTGCACGGCTACACGCAATCCGGACCCTTATTCCAAGCCAAAACGGGCGCTCTCCGCAAAACCCTCAACAAAGCCTTCCCCAAAGGCATCGAGCTCGTCTACCCCACCGGCCCAATCCGCCTCACCCCCACTGACTTCTCCCTCATCACCGGCGCCGTCACCGAACGCACCTCCGCCCCGGACGCCGACGAAGAACTCGATGCCTGGGCCTGGTGGCGCAAACGCAACACCAACGATGGCACCTACCTTTTCGACGGGCTAGACGAAGGGTTCGCGCATATTGCCTCCATCCTCAAAGAACAAGGGCCCTTCGATGGCGTTATTGGATTTTCCCAGGGCGCAGCTGCAACAGCCATGGTTGCATCGTTGCTCGAACCCAAGCGCAAAGAAGCATTCGACGCACAGCAAGCAGCCGGCACCGGAATCCCCTTTCCGCCGTCCTTTGAGGGAAACATCCACCCTCCGCTCAAATTCGCCGTTTCATACAGCGGCTTTGCGGCCATTCCCCCGCCCTCGCCGTCACAAGATACCAAGGCAGCATCACGGTACATTGCGTTTTACGAGCCGGAGATCGAAACCCCCATCTTACACTTCTTGGGGACACAGGATGTAGTTATTGAGGAAGCGCGTAGTCTGGCGCTGGTGGAGCGGTGTAAGAGGAAAGAGGACAAGTACGTCGTGTATCATCCTGGAGGCCATTTTTTGCCGAGTACGCAGAAGGCGAGTGTGAATGCGCTGGTGGGGTTTATTAGGGAGGTGCTTTGGGAGCAAGAGGGGGCAAAAGAGGAGGATGATTTGGAGGATATTATGGGACATTTTGATAAGAAGCCTGTGGTGGGGGAGCGGGAGGCTAAGTTTCACCTTTGAGATGGTTTGCTTTTTTAGGGAGATTACGTCCATAAAGCGAAAGAATATGGGTTAGATATAGATCGCCTCCATTTACTAGATAGATCATCTTTACAGTAGATTACAACGAAGACACGTCTGTTAAACACAAAGCCAGGATTGAAGTATTCAAAGTCTCATTCGTCTGTCTTAACGTGACTAGAGCGGAGGTAAAGGAAAAGAAAGAAAGACTTAAGTGATTCCAACCTCCATAGGAGTGAATGTGTGTGTGTGGAAAACGCCGTCCCACCGTCCATGTAATGCCCTGCCGTATCCTGTACCCATGTTCCATAAACACCAACGAACCCAAAAAGACGGATATCAGGAACCACGCAGATGCCAAAAGCATGCAAAGATGCAACCGCCTCTCTATCACTACACCTGGCAGACTAAAAGGCAATTCCACGGGCGCCAGCTCTTGCGAGGAGGCAGCAACTCAGACTGGAAGCCAATCGCCGCCGCGATGAAGGAGGGGAGCGAGTAAGAAGCAAAAGCACAACTTCGACACCTGCTGGTAACCTTTGAAAACAAGAAAACAAAAAGCACCAAACACCTTTATCCCAATACCGAACCGCCCAATGCATACATCATGTCACAACCCCCCGCAGGTAGCATAGCTTCGTACCGTCGGCACCACCTAATCTAATATTTAAAAGAGACGCAACTTCCTAGGCGGGCCTAGTGAGCTGTTGAAGAGAGAAGAATCTACTGGACGCTTCTTGATTGTTGAGAAAGCGTGAGGAGCAGGCTTCACAGCCGAGAAACCCGATTTCGACGGAGTAGCGGCGAGGAAGAGTGGCCTAGAGGGAGTCTTGATGGCAGCCTTGCTGAACAAGAAAGTAGACTTCTTGTTGGGGACGGTGCGAGGAGCAAGGGGGCTCCTGTCGAAGAAGGCGCCAACCTCGCTGTTCTCCTTGTCGTCGTTGAAGGAGCGGTCAAACTCGGAGCTGGTAGGGGTGCTAGGCATCTTGCACTGCGACGAAGGAGGAAGAGCGTACTTAGAAGGTGTCTTGGCGGGTGTGAAGGGCTTCATGGTAGTGGTTGGGAGTGGAGACGCTGGCTTAGCAACGGAGAGATCAACCAAATAGGGATCTTCATCCATACGCTTCTTGTTTGACTCGCTGTCCAAGACCCAACCGACATTGACGCACTTGATGGCACCTTTGCTCGAGAGACACTTCTCTAGCGTCGACATGCTTCCATCCTTGAAAAGAACGTGAGTCAGAGAAGCGTGTGACATGTCCTTGACGACCTTAGCACCAAGGTCCTCTAGAAGACCACGGAACAAGAAGTTTTGTTCTTTTCCGTTACGAGTGACATCGACGTAGAAGACGGTGCCCTGAAGGATGCCGTCGTCCATGAATATCTCGCTCTCGTCAGCTTGAACATCAGTCCAAGCAACAGACTTCTTCGGAGTCTTGGTGTCCATAACCTTCATTGGCGACCTCAGCGCGGACTTCTTCGGTGATGCTGGCTCTGGCGCTGCGAACGTGGGAGCGAGTTGCAGGGGCTTGAGTGGCATGCTTGCTTTTAAGTCACCGAAAGAAGGGGCCTTGATGGCACTCACAACATCAACTTCGCTGAATTCACTAGCTTCAGTAAGCTCACTGACATCGCCAATCTCGCTGGTCTCGTCGAAACCGAAAGAGATCTTCTCCTTACGGCTGGAGTAGCGTATAGGTGAAGGCGTTTGCTTCTTGACAGATGCAGTAATCTCTTCCTGAAGAGCAGCCTCAAGAGCAAGACTAGGCGTAGTTGGGTAGTCTGGCAACTCAGCGAGAGCTCTGCGTGGAGTAATTGGTGCCACAATGTGAGCAGGAGTCTTTGGATAACCGGGGAGTTCTGCCATTGCTTGTTGCGATGTGACTGGAGCAGTGATGTGAGATGGGGTAGCCGGGTATTCGGCGGGGAGCTCCTCGAAAGCTTCTTGATCAGTGACGCCCCAGACAATCTGCGCAGGAGGGGTGCCAGGAAGATCGGCACATGCCTCTGGGGCAGGAGTAGTGGCGTGGTAGGGTGTCTCGGCTGGGACAAGGAGAGGAGACTTGGCTGCTGGTGTAACGGAATTGTCGGTGGTAGATAGAAGATTCTCAGCCTCTTCTTGTTCGTTGACGGCAGGAGCCGCATCGTCATGAGATTCTTCTGGTGCATCAGTAGAGGCAGGAGCCTCAATTTCTGCATCATTCATAACCTCATCATGCTCGGATGGAGAAACCTCCTGTGCCTCTCCCATCTCGACATCGTGGTCGGCAACCTCAGCCTCAGTCTCAGCCTCTCTCTCTTCGGTGGGAGGGATAACAGGTGCAAGAATGTGAGCAGGTGTCTTGGGGTAGTCGGGCATCTCAGCCATTGCGTCCTTGATAGAAATGGGAGCTTTGATGTGAGCTGGGGTCTTGGGGTATCCTGGCATCTCCGACAAAGCATCCTTAGTGCTCATAGGTGCACTGATGTGCGCGGGTGTCTTGGGATAATCAGGCATCTCAGCCAGTGCAGCTTCAGAGCTGATTGGGGCCTTGATGTGAGCAGGCGTCTCAGGGTAGTCGGGCATTTCGGCCAGAGCATCTCTTGAGCTGATGGGAGCCTTGATGTGTGCTGGTGTCTTGGGGTATCCGGCGAGCTCCGCAAGCGCGTCCTTGTTAGAGACGGGCGCAACAATGTGTGATGGGGTGTTGGGATAGTTGGGAAGCTCAGCCAAGGCTTTCCTTGAGGTTATTGGCGCTGCGATGTGTGCGGGTGTGGTAGGATATTCGGGGTATTCTGCCATAGCCACCTCGACTGGCTCATCAACCAACGCCTCTGCTGGCTGCTCGGCGGACTCCTCGACTGGCATCTCGACAACCTCCTCAGCTACATCTTCAGAAGCCTCAGTCTCAGCCTTTGGAGTTGAGATCGTGACAGTCTTCTTTGTGGGTTTACGGGCTGGCGCCTTGAGAGGTGATTCTTGTGATATTGTGGGGGCATCTCGTCCGCGTGTAGTTCTTGGTGCAAGTACAGGTACAGGTGCAGCTTTTGATGCTGGCGCAGAGGCCGAGGCTTTGGGTACTGCCGGTTTACGCGTGCGAGTTGCTGGCTTGGTGGTTTCGACCGCGGTAGGCTCCTCGACGATTGGAGTCTCGGTCTTCTTGGTGACAGGTGCCTTTTTGGCGGGGGCCTTGCGCGCCCGTGACGCGGCCTTTGGAGCTTCCTCGACAATGGGCTCCTGAACGACTGGGTCTTGGGTGGCCACTGGCTCTGCGGCCTTTGACGCAGCCGTCTTCTTCACTGGAGCGATCTTGCGCGCTCGAACAACCGCTGGCTTGGGTGCCTCTTCATCAGCTTGAAGCTCGTCAATGTCGTCGGGCTCCTCAGCCTTGCGGCCGCGCGTCGCTCGCTTTGGTGCAGCGGGTGCTGGCTCTGCTTTTGTCTGAACTTTTGTTGTGCGTGTTGTTTTTGTCGCGACAGTCTTCTTGGCCACTGGGGGCTCAGCGTCTTCAGGCTCGGCCTTTGCTTTGCGTTTTGCAGCGGTTGTTTTGGTGGCCTTCGCGGGAGCTGGTGCAGGCTCAGCAACTTGTTCAACAACAGTCTTAGTTCTGCCGCCGCGCTTGGGAGGGGCACTGAGGGTGCTGGAGGATGCAGACGAGGCCACTGGGGCCTCTTTCGCACCGCGACGTGTAGCGACCATAATGAATATCGATGTTCGCTATCTTTGGGTGTGTGTATGTGGTTGCTGGATTGTTAGTAGGAGAGAGGATGAGTTGAGTATGTGTGGGCGTGCTTGCCCGTGTTGTGTTGTCAGAGCGCAAACTGCCGCTAACTGTGTTTGGGTGCTGTTGTCCCGACAACAGTGGTATCACCTACAAGCTAACTCTATTAGGACTGCCGGATGTTCGGGATCAATCGACAACCATCTCTGGCCAGGTGGACCGGGCGATACCAACCGACAGCTGTCTCTCATCAGCCACACACATCAGCCACGCGCATCAACTCACTGTCCGTGACAGCCAACACCACCGGGTAGTGCTTCCCCAGCCGGGCAAAGCGTCTGCTCCGTATTCGGCAAGCGAAATATACGCTCATCACACTTCGATTTATCTCAAGTACTTTGACTGCCTACTGTGCCCTGTGAACTTGGTCGCTGGAAGGGGGGGTGTGTGTCCAGATTTTACGTCCTATCCAAAGCCTTCCACGGAGTATGCAGACGGGTGAGGCCCAGGACTTACGGTGGTGTAACACCGCCTGGCTCCACCTATTCGCGGGGAACAAAGCCCACCATTCAGTTTCGCCCATCTACGATATCACTTCTGGTAACATCTGGAGCCGCCCATGGTGCTTTCGATCAGCAGGCATACTATGATTTTCTCGTCCACATACTACTTGGCATGTCCACATATACAGCTGCCCCACATCCTCAAACGGCGTACCACATGATGGCATACACCGCCCACTGAACCCACTACCCATGTATACACTGGGCTTTAGAGGCTGTCGGTCCCAGAAGCCTCATGTGCCCTTTTCGGCCTCGTAGTGGTGCGGCAAGCCTTCTTTTGAAAGGTTCAAGAGATTATAGGATCTTGGCGTGTATGCCGCGTCAACGTGGACCTGATTTGGTAGATGTTCAAACATCCTCCATCCTGCTGTCGATCCGCGCCCCACATGTTGTATGGGTGGATGGGTGGATGGGTGAGTTTCCGTTATTTCCAATTGGTGTTTCATTCAGAGCGTTTGCTGTTCACCATCTTGAATTGGTCACTATGGGAAGCTCGATCCTAGCCTCCAGTAACCGGGATATCTACGAACGTCTCATGAATGATACCGAGGCTTCAGAAACTTCCATCCGGATGCAGTTTTCTTCATCGGCCCTACCTGGTCAGGCAGAAGGGAACTCTTGATGCAAATTCTGTTGCCCCACGACCAGGATGCCATTGCTCAGAGTCGTGGAACCATACAGTGGGTGAGTGCTCTGCCTATGATATTACAAAGGCAATATCACCTGCAGCAGTGTTTGATATGCATATGAAATTACAGGGACTTTGTTGATCAAGTGGATAGCGTGATCTGACAGGCGTCACCAAACCCGTAATCGATTTTCTTGGTTTGGCTTCAAAGTCTGGTTGACCATCAGCCCATCATAAGACATAATGGAATAAAAGCATCTTGTTACCCAATGACTATTCTGATTTATATTAACCTAATATGCCTCAGCAATGAGCGATGGCAGCCATCCTGTGGTCCGGCAAATAGCCATTTGATCGTTGTCCCATCGAGCCATTGCAACTGGGCCACACGCATTTAAGAGAAAGCTTTATAACATCTGCTTCACATTCCATTTTTCGTGTACCTCCATCCAAACCCATTGTTAAGCATTATTGTTCAAATCTTTGGCCCTCGAAACCGAACTAAGATGCATTGGAGTAACATTATCCTTACCGTGGCGGCTCTCGCCAACACGGCTGTCGGGCAAAACATGTTACGATTTGCATGCTCGCAGCTCGTCGTCGAGCGTACAGACCCTCTTGTGAATCCCGGCATGAAGTACACTCCGCATCTACACCAGATTGTAGGAGGCGACGCCTTCAACATCACCATGGATCCCTCAGTCGACCTCGCAAAAGCATCCACATGCACATCCTGCAGCTTCGTACAAGACAAGTCAAACTACTGGACAGCTGTTATGTTCTTCAAAGCCAAAAACGGGACTTATATCCGCGTGCCTCAGGTGAGTAAATACACCAGACAGAGTAAATATATAGGCCACCATGACTAACTCATAGCACACCAGATCGGCAACGGCGGACCCCAAGGCAAGCTCATCAACGACGGCGGTCTAGACATTTACTACATTCCCAGCGGCAAGACAACCGCCTTCAAAAAAGGGTTCCGCATGCTCGTCGGCTCGGCCACCAACAAAGACCCCAGCAAAGTCAAACTCTCAAACATCTGCCACCGCTGCTGGACCTCGCCCTCGGAAGACACCTTTGTCGGCGGCGCTCCCTGCACCGGGTCCGACACCGTCGACATCCCCAAAGACCCAAAGTGCAAGCTCATCCGCCAGACCATCATCTTCCCCGCCTGCTGGGACGGCAAGAACCTCGACTCACCAGACCACCAGAGCCACGTTGCTTACGGCCAGGGCAGCGGCGCAAACGGCGGTGGTGCGTGTCCGTCTAGCCATCCCGTTAAGCTGCCGCAGATCATGTACGAACTCATGTGGGATGTGAGTAAGTTTGCAGACAGGAGTTTGTGGCCGACGGATGGGTCGGATCCGTTTGTTTATTCTATGGGTATTGGGTAATGTCTCCATTTCTTATCCATGTCCTAATTCCATATGGAGGCTAACTGAGGATATTGGTAGTGGATCCGCTGCCCATGGCGACTACGTGTTTGGCTGGGAGGGGGACTCGCTGCAAAAGGCCATGGACAATGGGTGCAATTTGAATAATGCCTGTCCCAAGGCGGGGCTTACGACGCAGCAGCCTGCGCAGTATAATGCTTGTAAGAAGAAGCAGCAGGCGCCTGAGCAGGTGGATGGATGTAAGTTTTGTGTTCTGTTCATGTGCGAGCTACTCGCTTTGTTCATTTCAGTACTGCTATCGGGTATGTTGCACCAACTAACCATCGAACCAGGGCTCAAGTCTTTGCCGCTTGGAGACATGCCTATGGGGGCCTAGACACATTTGTCAAGTTTCTGGGGTACTATTACTATCGCAGGGCTTTCATCTTTTTTAAAGCCCCCAATGTTCCAGGGAATGCTGTATGAGGGTCAGCAACCACATTCGCTTGTACTTTCCGCTAGAAAAGCCTGCCCGTAAATCATATAAACCGCTATTGCTATACCCAAAAAACGTGTCATACATCAATCCATGAATTCACATTCTACAAAGAACCCCCATCAAGCAGCCATAACTATATAGCCAAGCAAAAAGATCCACGGCAACTCCCGTTCAATGTCCTGCCCCTACACCCCATTCCTCTCCAACAACGCCGCCCACCCCTCATTCCTCCCAGCAGTAAAGTCATGGGTAATGTAATTGTACACATCATGCACTGGGATACTCGCACTCGTCGAACCCGGATTACTCACTTTACCCTGCGAGCACGCAAATGCCAACCGCCTACTTCCACTCGGCTCCACATACACCGGCCCAGAAGAGCCATTGTACGAAGTACACCCCGTGCACTTGACTGTGAATTGCCAGTGCGTGCTGTTTGATTTGTTACCCGTGGAGAGCGGGGTGTAGGTTGCAGAGGGATACTGTTGGGGAGTTGAGTGGCCACTTGTTATATCTGTTAGCAATTTCTCCGTTTTTTCTCTTTCCTTTGGGATTTTTCTGTGGATGGGGGCTTAGGAGAGGGAAAAAAGGGAGATAGGGGACGTACGTAGCCCAGCGGGAAGATACGGTCGGTTTTTGACCGTTGGGATACGAGACGGTGAGTGGATTGCGGACCATGTTGCCACCCCATGCGAGTCCGACCCAGCCTAAGGAGCTGGGAGCGATGACTTGGAGGACGATGTCGTAGGTTTGACTTGTGGAAATGTTTGCGGGCTGCGCTATGCGGTAGATGATGTTGCTGGTGAGGGTGGCTGCGGCCTTGGTTTCGGAGAAGGTGAAGCCGGTTTCGGGGTCTTTGTAGCTTGTCGAGCGTTTTGATAGAGTGTGATCGGTTGATGTTGGCCATGCTTGAGCTGGTGGGTGGTGTTAGGATAGGGAATGGGTCACTGGTGCTGTACGACTTACCAAGATTGGCTATGGCCGCGAGGCTGCCTGTGAAGCGCATGATTATCGTTTTGCCTTTCAGTCGATCAATTGGGTGTTGGAGACTCAAATGCTGGCACTGATGCTACTGAAGTGTGAATATTATCGTGTCACAAGAAATATCTTAAGCAAAGGGATAAACTGATAAGAGGCTCTCAAGTGTGCCAAGGTGGTACACTACCATTTTATTAACTTAGATAACCTCTGTAGAGTATACCGAAGCGATATGTGTGCACATGGCAATGATGAACCAGGATAACAGCAAATTTATCCAGGTCTAACACGTGTGACAACAGTAGCCATGGCCAGGAAGTAAGGCTACGAGGTGGATAAAGCATGTGGCCATGTCGATAGGAAGAGTATCAATTGCCTATCGAATCACCTACTAGAGAACTTGATTGCTTGACATTTCTTATCCAACGGGCCCTTGTTTCTGGAAGTCGGATCTGCGATGTGACAACCATTAACTAGGTTATGAGTGGCCGAACCTTTTATCCGCATAGTGTGTAGAACATAGAATGAGAGACCCATGTACTCGGGAAATTGAATGAACCCGAGAGTCAACATACATCAGAGAAAGGCTTGTGCAATGATGAAATCATCGCATTCTCCGGCCCGAGAGGGACTGAAAATTTGCAGTAAAAGTGCAAGAGACAGGATCTGAAAAGTAAAAGCATACGTAGATATCCTAGCTCACTGGGAAGGACTCCGTTTCGCGACGTTTGATTCACCCAAGCATGTGTAACTTTGACGTAACATCACAACTTGATACTAGAAATTTCGTCTCGCTTGGGAAAACCTCCTCTCCCCACATTTTGCGTGTGGGGCTTTCCATGAAAAGCTCACATGGTCTAATGTGCTGTGGCACAGGAACGTTTCGGGTCACGAAATAGATTGAAAATTGTGGGACACCACCATATCCGCCGCC